CAACAATAAAGGGAACACCAGAATTTACGAGGTTCGGCTAATTTTGCCTACTCCTCGGACACAACCAATATTTTATTTCACTCCAAAAATACAAGTGAAATAATACTAAAGAGGGAAGATACAAATGCCTTAAACAGATGAGAAGGCAAATGAGAGGTGTGTTTAAATCCCAAACATTAGGCCTTCTTTTATAGGGGGAAAAATCCCCCCCAAACTCTTCTCCCAACCGATGTGGGACTTTGGCATTTTGCCAAACTTCAACATCTATTATATCCTTCTTTTATGTTGGATAAGTTTATAGAGACCCTACTTAATTGATCAGATCTTTGACATGTGCGTTCTATGATGTTGCGTGCATTGACAAAGTCAGAAAATTCAATTTGCTAGTGGGCTATGCAAGGATATTCGAAGTCTATTTTCTGATCAATAACAAGTACTAATATTTACCCTATACACAACACAATTTTTTGGCGAAGGGTGTTCAATATATAGCTTCGCCCCTGGTTGCATGGGTGTGCATGCTAGAGAACAAGGGGATGAAACCATCTGAAGCTTAGAATAAGAAGCAGGTTTATAAACCTGTTGTATCTACTAAACAGTTTACTTATTGTGGATATAAGGATAGGAAGAGTGAATTAGAAGAACACCTGTATTTAGTGTTTGTACCGAACAACTAAAAGAATAACATGAATAAAAGAAAGATCCCAGGAACAATGGATGAGCAGTTAGCCAGTCCGGAACTTACGGGAACGGAAGTATTGGCCTGGGGGTAGCACAGTGGGGCATATATGTCATAATTATCTATGTTTCCTCGACATGAAACTGCTTGGTTTATGTACTCATTACAAGCTTCTGAGGTTGTCTCTGCGGAGAAGTTACAATTCAAGACAATTCCTTCATGGACTTCATCTCATATTAGTGCATGTGTCCAATAAAAGTCGTATGAACCAGTACTCGTTGTTTCATCATGGATGAGGGCATTCCCTGTCTGAAAACATTGCCATATGAAAATAAGATAATATAGTGACTTAATCAGGAGGGAAAAAAAAATGTAAATATCATTTGGATAAAGCTTAATTAGCTTACAGCTATTCCTTGTAAGTTAATGACAAGGTTGGGTTCTGTTTTCTTGTGGGATAAGATCAGCTGAGCAAGTTGAGGCACATAGTGGCCGGCATAACACTCTCCCACAATGTAGAACTCTCGGTGTTTATATTCTGGGAATTTTTCGATCCAATTGATGAGAAAGGTGAAACTGTCTTGTTTAGTCTTTCCACGGCAAACATATTTTAGTTTTCGTGTGAATATATGTTTTCTCCAGTTAATAATACAGGTAACGTGCTTGCATCTACACTCAAAAAGGAGTGCTACAAAATTTAACAATGAATATAATTCAAATATTATATTCCATATTGACTTTGTTACTTAACAACCTTATTTTAGCTGAAGGTTGTTACTCTCCTCGTCTTAATTTATGTAACGGTATTCGAATTTCGAAAGTTAAATAAATTATTTTGAACGTTATTTTTTATATGTATTTCAAATATTTTAATTATTATTGACTTATAGTATGTTTACTGTATTGGGAAAAAACTGAGTTTATATTAAAAGATGATGTGGCATGACACGTGGATTAGTTAAATGGTCAAAGCGCAGCAATTGACTAAGAGACACGGATGGAAACAGCCACGGGAAGAAGAATTTAAATAGGCACGAGACGACGTATAGATACGAGTCTCGTACCAATTTAAATTATTTACAGCCAACGGATAGAAGACATTGAAAGCAAAGATCTGGTGACAGAAAGGAGTCCAAATTCATTATTAAATACTTGATACGTTACAAAATCGGTATTTAATAGGAATGATTGTATAACGGCTTATTTAATATCATTTATTACTCATGATTATATCATTAAAGTTGAGGCTTCATTCCTTTACCTAGAATTATCTATAAAAGGAAGAAGTATCATCATTTGTAAGGACACGGAATACTATTGAGAATTTATTGAAATACACATCTATTTGCTTCTTTACCATCGTTCTCAAAAGTATTTTATTTTTGTCTCCTGATTATCAGTAACCCGAATTTCTTTTTAGCTTTGACCAAAGACTCAGATTTTTGGTTAAACATTTACGTAGTTTCAAATATATAAATTTTATTTTGAAAAAAATAAAATATTTTATATCCAAATGCACAACAAATTAAGAAGTTTGAATCTCGAAAAGTAAAAAGTATCACACAAGCATTATTAATTACTTTAAAATCCAAACACCAAAATCGATCAGTTAATTAACTTGAATCCGGAAATGTGTAAAGGTTTTTCATATGACTTGAACATGTGTTGTGTATCGTAGAGTCCATGTTGCGTATAGATTTTGTTTGCTTTTTTTCCATCTGAAGGTTTTTGCCTAATTGCCTTTGTTTATTGCCGTCATGAAATCATATTACATTAAGATTCTTTTTTCCTTCTTTTTACACTTCACAGTCATTCTTTTGCTTAATATTGGAATCCATGTCGTTCGAGGGAAATCGACATATTCTTACCTTCTTTTTGTTCTTCTCATTCACAGTACAAGTGACCACGAGGGGTCTCAAGTGAACATTTAACCGTTTCTCTAAACAAACGAAGTTAGAAATCTGTTTCTCAAAAACAAAAAACAAAAAAGAAATCTCTGACCCAAATGCCAATTTTCCTTCATTTAGTTCTCTACACATCAATCCAAGATTTTGAAGCTCTTCGAGATGAAGCTAGACATCTGAAACGACATTTAGTTAAGTGAGATTTTTCTAACCAATGAGAAACAACACATCGTCAACACTAGATTGTGTATGTCTTATTTTGAATTTGGAATATCAGATCAAGAATATAATTGGGTAGTAGATTTCTACAAAATTATTCCATGTGAAACCAACTTTCCTTTTTTCCCCTTCTCAATAATCGTTTATCTTCTGTTTAATTAGTGGGGGCCAGGAAAGTCGAGACCGGGAGGGAGTGTGCCATTGATAAAAGATGAGAACATGGTCAATGCACGACCAGGTTGATAGCTTGGAACAAAATGTCCTGCTCCTCTTACCGTCACAAATGTCAAGTTCTGGTATTCTACTGCATAACCACCAACCTTAAAAAAAAGATACAAGAAATAATTAATTCATATAAAAAAGATAGCTCGATCGGTGCACGAAATATTACGCCTTCACGTAGGATTTCTGGAAGGCCGCATCCCAGGGGTGTGATATAATTAATCTATATACATATATGATAATCCGGAAATTAAGAGAGGTTGTAGATTTGAAGATTAATTAATAATGAAAAATTTGTTACCTCGCCTTGGAAGAACCAAGGGTACCATGCCGTTTTGACTGGTGTTTTGATTTTGTTTATAGCATATCTAGTGGTCGTTACAGACAAAATATGATCTACGTCTCCGCTGAAATTGTTAGGTCAGGAAAAAAAAAAGACGGCTTGATCAGAAAATGTTACACTGTTAAGTAGAAATTGCTAAAAAAGATTCAGAATTATTCTAATAGCGATTGCTTCTTTGCTTACCTATAAATCCAAACCCTAATGCCACTTTGCATGAGCTCTTGAAAGATAGGTAGAACAGTATCTGGGGAGTCTTGCCAAGAGCCGTGTATTTCATCACTGCACAAGTGAGAATTGACGCAAATGAAATTAAACCCATACCAAAAAAAAAATATTAAGAGCCTTTTCGACTTATTATTGATGAAAATTCTTTTAAAAATAATCACAGTATATATGTATTACTTGCAAGAGCCCCAGGACTGGGGTATGTCTCTCACATTAAGCGCCTTTTGTACTTCAACGGTGTTTAAGTAATTGTCTACGTAATCAGCTGAGCATGGATCAAATCCAGATTCCTGTTATAGACAATAGAAAACAGGATACATTAAGAAATTTTTACACAAATAGCTCATCATATTTATTGTTTACTTTTTCTAGCCATATACTTAATTTATACATTGATTATACAAAATTATACACATATAATACATAAATTATGCATATATTATACCTTCACCAGCTATTTTTAGTTTAAGCAGTTGGCTGAGCGGCTATTTAGGTTGATTTGTAAAATGTACCGAGATTCTCACCTTGATTTGCGACAGTGAAATTAAATTATTTAAATCGTTAAAATACCGGTGCACTTATTTTCTCAAGAATCACTACTCGAAATTCGGCAAAAATCGACTGCGGTCGACTGACCGATTTTGGTCGGTCAAAAAACCAGCCAATTTATTTTTTATTTTTTTTACGAAACCAACCAACTTTGGTCGGTTTTCTTTGGCGCAAAAATGCTGGAAACTATTTTTGACTCCCACAAAATTTATTTTTTAAGAAACCGGCCAACTTTAGTCGATTTTTCATTTAAAATAAATTAAAATTAATATTTAAAAACCGACAGAAATAGGTCGGTTAATTCGTCCGATCATTTTAAAAAACTGACCAAATTCGGTCGATAATTTTATTTTTTAATAAAACTGACCGACATCGGTTGGTAATTTTATTTTTTAATAAAATCGACCGACATCGGTCGGTTATTTTCGTGTGAAAATACAATTAAAGAGTATAAATGAAATAAAAGACAATCTTAAAACAAAATGCACCAATGGTCTAGTGGTAGAATAGTATCCTGGCACAGTACAGACCCCGATTCGATTCCCGGATGATGTATTTTTAATTACATAATTAAAATACCGACCGACTTTTGTCGGAGAAAAACGATCAACTTCGGTCGGTTTTTTCGGCAATTTTTTTTTTGAATTTAATTGACCGACCAAAATAGGTCGAAAAATACCGACTAAAGTCGGTCGATTAGCTCTACCAACTTTACGATTACCGACTGTCACGAATTGGTCCGTTTTCGATCGATTTTTGCCTATTACCAACCAACACTGGTCGGTTTTGGCGGTCGATTTTCCCCGTTTTCTTAGTAGTGAATGAATGAGAGCTAATTAGCCAGTGGAACTTACAGGAAGGGAAAAATAGGCAGAGGAGTTGCATAGTTGGGAATATATGTTATAAGTGTATATATTTCCTTGAGATGAATCTGCTTGGTCTGTGTACTCATCACAGGCTTCTGTAGTAAATTCTGCTGAGAAGTTGCAATTAGAAACAATTCCTTCATGGACTTCATCTGATATTAGTGCATGTGTCCAATAAAAGTCGTATGAACCACTATTCATTGCTTCATCATCGAGAAGGGCATTTCCTGTCTGCAAATTAACCATGTCATATGCAAGTAAGATAACTTAGAGATCCTTAATCAGGAGAAAAGAATGTAATTATCATTTGAATAGCTTAATCAGTTTACAGCTATTCCTTGCAAGTTAATAACAAGGTTAGGTTCTGATTTCTTGTGGGATAAGATCAGCTGAGCAAGTTGAGGTACATAGTGCCCAGCATAACTCTCTCCAATAATGTAGAAATCGCGGCGTTTATATTCTGGGAATCTTTCCATCCAATTAATGAGAAAGGTAAAACTGTCTTGTTTAGTCTTTTCATCTCCAGTAACATAATCTGATGAAGTATTAGAATAAGAGAATCCAACACCAGCAGGTGATTCTAAAAAGAGGACGTTTGCCACTGCATCAAAGTCAAAAAATTGTTCATTGTTATTACGGTTTACTGATTACTCTCAATTGCGATGACAAATTTTGCAGCAGAGAGAGATAATATATTAATTAAGTACCATTGTTCCAGGCAAATGGGTTAAGCCACAAGGTTTTTCCATCTTTATTGACACGGAATGGTCCAAGTTCCGTCATTCCTCCATTCCCAAACGAAGAGCAACCAGGTCCTATCAAGTTCATATAGAAATAACAAATTAATTAAGCTGGAAAGAGATACTCATACAATAAAGGGAAGAAAATGACATTGTAGAAGAATTTTTATATTATGAAGTCACCTAATTCGAAATAAACTATCGATAAAAAGTGAGATCAGTACGTAAAATGGAAACAAGACAGGTAATGAACATGCTACAACATGTTAAAATATAAGCTGATTGTACTTTCAGAGTTTATATACACACGTAAATAAAAACACACTAACTTCGCTCATAAACGTGTGTGTGGTGGATGTGTACTTACCTCCATTTAGCCACAAGACAAGAGGCCTGGTAGAAGGGTCTTGAGTTGATTCAGTGAAGTGATAGAACAAAGCTCTACCAGCATTAGCATCGACAGTCACATATCCTGAATACTGATCGAAATTAACCCCACTTGGTTGCCCTGGTAATGCCGAGATCTTGTCATTTTCCTTTGATCCTACCTGTGGCACTATGAATTTTGACGCTGATCGTATTTGTTTCTCGGCAGCCGCTATGCCGCGGTTAATCCTAGTCGTTGCCCGTCGAGCCTTGAGAAATTGCCGTAGATTATCTGCTTCCCCTGCGTGGCATTGTTGGGCACTTAGGTAGCACAAAATTAGAAAAAGACTTAAAACAGAGGAAATTTTCATTTTCTTCCCACGCAAGAAACAAGAAATGGTGAGTGATAACTCAATAGCAAATCTTCTTTACTTTATAGAGTATGCAAACCGTTGAGAATGTCGTCAGATCTTTTTTCTTGTATTCAAAATCGGGTTGACATCTTTGTCCTTTGTGCTCTTTGGTTAAAACGTCATACGCATTTAACAGCTATATATGACTTGTTCGGAACAAGCTGTTCCTGGAGTACGGAGTATATTGTTGGCTTTCATTTTCACGTCGTTCTCAAACAGACGGAAAAGGCTGATCAAGAAGGAGATAAAGTGAAGATTTAGTAGGCGTTTGGACATAAAAACTAGTATAATTTTTGGAAAATAAATAGTATTTGGAGTTAAGTTGAACAATCATATTTGGAATTTGAAATTATGTTTGGACATGCATTTCAAGGAAAAAAGTTTTTCTAAAAATTTTGAAAAACTCATTTTCGAAAAATTTCCATAAACATACAAAATTTCATGGATAAGCACGCTTTTTGAAAAAAAATATGGACAAACGGAGCCTAAAAATTTTCTTAATTCTTTCTAATTATATATGTAACTAACCCGTAAGAAGGTGAATACTATTATTTGAGATTATTATTGAATCATGTCAGAGGACCTTTTTCAATTTATTTTTGTAGCTAAAGTAGTGGAAAATCATTTGAACTTTTACTTACTACTAATGGAAGAAAGTTAGAAAACATTTAAAAAAGCTGCAGAGAAAAAGTGTTAATCGGATAACATCATTCAGAATAACTATGTGAGGCATTCCTCTTCAAAATGTCATCAATTTATTGAATTTTATTTGTTGCATTATAATTTCACTGATATCAGTGATGGATTGCGTATAGGTGTTCATAACACGCAGCGGAAAACAATAACAATCTTAGGCAGATCTTTTCAAAAACCGTACCCTAAACGTGAAAGACCAAAAAAACTAATTTTCTTGTCAAGAGTATTTTTTATTCTACGCCACTCTCACGTTTTTCTTTTCTTTTCTATATCTTTTGTGGCTTATGTTATAATGATATATTTATATCATCAAACATCACTTTGTTCCCATTAGGTTTAGGAGAATTGAGGCGGTGACTGAATGTGGTATTAGACCAATTCTCAAGTTGGACTTTTCCACAAATTACTATTGGAAAATATAAATCTCATTCCTAATGGGTTTCACATGATCGACAGCAGCATATCAAAATGTTCCATTTTTTTGTTTTTTTTTTGTTTTACATGTCATTTTACATTACCAACTATATATGTGTGTGTATGTATATGTTTTGATAATTATTTTAACCAATAGCTAGTCAAGATTCAAGAGATATAATCTAATTTTTCAATTCCAAATAGAAAACTTCAATTTGTCCGCAATATTAATTATATCCTCTGTGCTAGCAAAGAATATAATAATATTTCATTTGGACTAATAACTAAATTTGTTTGACTAATTAAATTCTTTAATTTAATTACCAAACAATAAAATAATTAATCCTTTAGCAAAGATCAGAACACTCGTTAGTGTGCGACCCCATAGGTTCAATACTAAACCGGTAGTAAATCAATCACATTAATATACTAATCAAGGGTGGCGTCTAGCAACACTCGTAGTCGACTCCTTCTTTCTAAACCGGTAGTAAATCAATCACATTAATATCAATCACATTAATCCGAATAGATTTGAGCATTGCCACGGGAGAGAACGTATCGTCGTAGTCGACTCCTTCTTTCTGACGATATCTCTTGGCAACAAGACGGGCTTTGTAGGTCTCCACCTTTCCGTCTGCTCCAATCTTTTTCTTAAAACCCCATTTACAACCTATAGGTTTTATATCCTTTGAAGGTTCAACTAAAGTCCATACTTTATTTTCCTTCATGGATTCCATTTCATATTCCATGGCCTTTTGCCACTTCTCATAATCGGAACTTTGTATAGCCTCTTCATAGGTCTTAGGGTCATCATCATTATGATCAACCTCATTTGATACATCATCTTGTACCAATAAATTTAATCTAGTTGGTATATGACGTTCTCGTGTAGACCTTCTAAGAGGTACTTGTACAACCTGTTCACCTTGTGCTGGATTTGGTTGTTGTTCAATTTGGTTTAGAACTGGTTCATTAACCTGTTCTTGAACTTCATTTAGTTCTTGAACTTCAACCGTTGAAGATGGCAACTTCCTTGGCAATTTCAAAACATCCAATAAAGGTTCTTCAACTTGGGTCTCATGATCCTTATATTGTGTTGATTCATTAGTTTCTTGAACTTCATCAAGATCTATTTCTCCATTATAATTTCCTTCTAAAAGAAATTCCCTTTCCAAAAAGGTTGCTCCCCTGGCCACAAATACTTTATGGTCAGAAGAGTGATAGAAATAATATCCCATTGTTTCCTTGGGATACCCAATGAACCTACACTTATTAGATCTTGAGTCAAGTTTATCATACTGTAGTCTCTTAACATAAGCTGGACAACCCCAAACTTTAATATATTTAAGGTTAGGCCTACATCCTTTCCATATCTCATATGTTGTTGTAGAGACGACTTAGTAGGAACTTTATTAAGTAAGTATGTTGTTGCTTCCAAAGCATATCCCCATAAATTTATTGGAAGATCAGTGAACCCCATCATAGATCTCACCATATCTAATAAGATTCAATTTCTCCTTTCAGACACACCATTGTATTGTGGTGTTCCTGGAGGTATCCACTGTGAGAGAATCCCATTCTCTTTGAGATTCTGATAAAATCTTCACTAAGATATTCTCCACTTCTACCAGACCTTAGTACTTTAATACTTTTACCAGTCTGCTTCTCAACTTCACTACAGAACCTTTTGAACATTTCAAAAGATTCAGACTTGTGTTTCATAAGATACACAAATCCATATCTTGACATATCATTAGTGAAGGTGATGAAG